GCAGTTTCCGTTGCCATGAACTGTTATTAATCGGTTTGTGTAGGTCGGTTCTGGATTAACATGGTGAGTATTAACAAATATTATCTCTATAAGCGGCGAGTATTACACTATTTTACGCCATGCGGCAGTTTACGTTGCCATGCGGGTGAGTGTTTTCCCATGCGGCAGTTTCCGTTGCCATGAACTATTATTAATCAGTTTTTGTAGGTCGGTTCTGGATTGATGGTGAGTATTAACAAGTATTATCTCTATAAGCGGCGAGTATTGTACTATTTTACGCCATGCGGCAGTTTACGTTGCCATGCGGGTGAGTATTTCCCCATACGGGCGGTTTCCGTTGCCATGAACTAACTAATCAATTTGTAGGCATTATCGGACGTCAGGAGAGTAGCTAGTTGGTAGTTAGTTGAATTAATGTCGTGTATTTTTTCCAATATGTATATGTTTTGTAATTAGTAGAATACAAAATAGCGTCGTTATTATTTATTATGTATTATTCCAAACATGTACAATAAATTATTAACATGGTGTTGGAAACAAAAATTGTATACGAATAAAACTTTTTCATCATTGAATAAACAAACATTGGTTGCTCGTCTGATCTGACATATCATTGTGAAAGAATGCCTTCAATTACAGAATACGTTAACGAATAGTGCTTCTATGAATATGCTTGAGTTACTGAAAACGTTAGTGGGAAAGAACTGAAAACGAAATGCTTTGAGTTACAAATACGTTAGCAATTCCTTTTGTGCGGAAATAGCGCTTGACTGACATTACCATTGTGAAAGAATGCTTTGAGTTACTGAATACGTTAGTAAACCTTTCCCATTCGGTGGATGATATTCAAGACTTAACCATCTCGGTTTAAGCTTAAGGTGGTGCGACACACACATCTACCAGCCAACTCGTCAGGGCTAAAATACGGACAGATCGTGTGAAAATTAACAATACTGCGCTTTTCGATTTAGTGGTAGCTACTACCAACCCTTGTAGATAATTTAGTTTAAGCGATAACAGAATGGTAGACCAGCAATATACTGTTCACTATCGCTATTGTTACTATGCATTTATTGCTTGATGAGTTGAAATATTAAACAATTTGACGATTGTTGTGTGATTTTTGACGAAGGATTCAACCATACGACTTGTGGATTCTGTCTGTATGTGCACAGTTTGTCGAATAATTTAATAATCAATAACGGCTTACGAATCAACATTTAGAATTTGTCAATACTAACTAGAAATTTAAATTGGGCCTGCCCGGCTTCGTCGGACATAATAAATGAACAGAGCTATATTTTAAACTGTAGGCTTGTTTTTTAATATAGGTTAAAGTCGTTTGTTCATCAGCTGATTCCAATTTTTGTATTTTTATTGGTCAAATTTTGAATTTGGTGATGGTTAGCGTAAATTTTATATGTTTTTATTATAGTGGTTTACATTTAAAGGTAATTGTAATTTAAGCATCGTGTTGTACTATTGTTTGTTTATTAATACTCGAGTACTTATCCACTGTCTTCATTGCGTTATGCAGCCATTTGTCATAATAATTCACGGTTATGTAGGTATGATGATTACAATTTTAGTCAAAGTTGACTAATTGTGAAACTGGGCGATGGCGATCTTGGTTGTTCGCGATCAGTGAACTCACACAAATCAAATCCAACCATTCAAGGCGCTTTACCCTTTATTGCACCAGAAGTCTTCTATACTCGAAAATTTACTCGGAAATCAGATGTGTATTATTATATATTTAATTGCTACTGGCGAACCACTTTTTAGAGGTAGACAGTTTGATGCAAGTTTAATGCGCGACGTTATGAGTGGACTGCGACCATCGATGCCTGACTCTGCACCGGAGGAATACAAGAAATTTGCTGAACGGTGTTGTGATGCTGATCCTGATTAGCGTCCTGAGGCATGGACGCTTTACAATGATATTGACAGTCTTATTAAAGAGGTGAACGAGGACAGTTCTAATGACAACGCATGGCATGCCATCTATGATAATGATATAAAACCTTTATTACGTTTCGAAAAGGAGAGTAAATACTCTAGTAAACTCTTACCTACTGGAGATTGCCTTAAACCAAGAAATGGTAATGAGATGTCAATTGAGTTTCAGGTATAAAGACAAGAGTGCAATACGTTGTGAGCAGTAAGTCTTTCAGTATTACCAACTTTTCTGACACCAGATTATGATAGATACATTTATTCGAAAATTTAATTAAATCAGAAATCTATTTCATATAAGTCGAAAGCAACAAATATTACGCAAAATAAACTAAAACGTTTATCTTCGGGATAGTCGCAAACACTATAATATTGCAAATATTCTGCTACAAATGAGCCGTGTTTATCAACATATTGAGAACGCAAAATTTGTGATAAAATTTCATAACCTTTTGCAGAACATTGATAACAAATTTCTTCAGTTAAACATCGACTTCGGAAACAATATCTCTATTATTATCATAAATACGTACAATATGCGTACTCCCAATTGGTGTTTTACTTGATTGAACTGCAAAATAATGAAGCAGTTCAATTAATAAGTAGAATAAAAAATTACATCGATATGATTATAGTTGTGAAAGTAACATTTCTTGCCGCAAAAAAATAGGCAGAGAAAACAAATATATTATACAGTACATTGTCATATTTGGGAAGCTGCCGCAACTATGTGCAAATACGACTAGAGTTTTACAATTATAATCATGTATTGTACTTATTGCATAAACATCAAATTGAGAATAAAATTAACGAGAAATAATTTACGGAGATAGCAAGGCCATTGTTCAGCTAACGAAGGCAAAAAATTACCAACCAATTTACATTTTGCCAAAGGTTACCAGAAAGCTGTGATTTGAACATTTGTTTCAATTTGTTCGAATGTTTTTAAAGCCATTTGTGGTTTAAGCCATTGTCGGAAATTAACCGACGCGTCGTACAGTCCATAAAATTGGACAGAAACAAGAAGTTATAGACGTAGTCGAATTAGGCGTAACAGAGAATATTGCCCGGTCAGAAGTTGTGTTATGGCATTATCTTATTATTATGAGAACGTTTTCGCTGCCTTAATTGTACGTAATTGAGTATCACAGTTTTTTACTGTTTTAAATAAGACAACGTCGACAAAAGAATTTGCATTGATTGATTTAATGACAATTTACTCTAGCTATTCTATATGTAATGATTGCTTCACGTAAGAAATTTAGGAGAAATATTCATGGTCCCACGTCTTTTTTCTTTATATATTTCGCAAGGACTTTGTTTGAACGTGCTCAATATTTTGGAAACAAATGGAAGAATTGGATTGTCACATGATAACCAGGACTACTCCTTTTTGTTACGTATATCGTAAATTCTGAAAGAATGGTTATAGTTCAGTTTTTTTCTACATCTGTCACCATTCTATTCTCCTTTACTGATAATGCTTATTAAAAGCTTATTTGGGAAGTTTAACCAAGAGTAATACACGTATCAGAGTGCTATCAGTAAGAAGTACAATTATGGCTTCTTGTATGAGGATGTCTTATGCTGGATTGGGAAGCTTGGGCTTGGCTCGTAGTGTTCTTTTCGGAGTTGTTGGCGCTGATTTGTTTCTGGATTTGCTTGCTCTTCTACTTCGCTCGGAGTAGAAATAGATTCTACCATTTTGGACGTTTCGATGGCATAGTGAGATGAAGTACGGTCAATAAATGAGATCTTTTCTGTGAGGCGGAGTTGTTGGCGGATGTGGTACGATCGATTATTGGTTTGAGTATCAAGGAAGACGTAGAGGGGGGTGGGTGGAGATAAATTCGAATTGTAAAGTTGGATAAAGTTTGTTATTGTGTATGTCCAGTTCTCCTAGTAGCGATACCCGAGATCTTACCTTTCCCTTTTTTTCTCTCATGCGGTTTTTCTTGGGGGATTCGTGGTATAGTATTATATCAAAAATTTTCTAGATTAAGTTTGATCTACTATCGCTTACGTATTGGGTGGTGCGAGAAGTGGATGTAGTAATATACATCATACAGAGTACAATAAGATCTAATACTAACTATTAATATTCGAACCTGTACGACTTTTCAGGTGTCGGATAATTCCTGATTATGTTAAAGCCGGTAAAATTAAAAAAAGTTCTTAAACTCTTATTATTATTGTTTCGGATTTTTAACTCGCACGAGAAACATATTCAATAAAAAAGTCTTCTACTACACAATGCAAATAGTCTAATGAGCACAGATATGGATATTGTTAGATGCTGACCTTGTGCTGTACACGTTATTTTTGTTTCTAATACGAAATGCCTACAATCACATGACCAGAGAGGGGCAAGAGAAAATTTTCTGCAAGACGCGCGCCAAGTCTCTTGTTAGAAGAAACATTAACATTGAAAAAATATGAATACCTAAGAAACATGATGAATTTAAAAAAAGCTATGCTCGTTATATAGCTTTTTTCGATCGCCTATTTTTAACTACGTGCAATGATTACAGGAGTGTCAGAATTTTTTCTCTTATCGAAAGATTTCGATCTTATCGCATTGTGTTTGCGTCTATATCACATCGATCGAGACTTTAATACATTTCCAATTTCAAGACAAAGGTGAAGAGGCAAACAAAAAATCTTGCTTGAAAAATATAATTGCTTGAAATAATGTAGTGATCAAAAATAATATACTAATACTAATACCATACTTCTTACATATTCCAGCAATCTACCCAGCCAACAATAGGCACGCTTTCAGTAATCTTTTCAATACAACTCAGATTGACATATCTGATAAATGGAATCGGATTACAGGTTATTCAAAAAGTGTTGAATCACTAAACAATAGACTGTAGATAATGCTAATACTGCACCTTGACTTCGTTTACATGAGCAAACCAATTGTTCTCTTTGTAACCGTCATCAACAAACCTCCAGTAATTAAGAGTATTTACTCTCCTCAAGACGTGATAAGGATTTTACATCAGCATGATGAACAGTGTTCCACGTATTATCATCAGAATTGTCCTTGTCAAGCTCGTAAAGAAGTTCACCAATATCAAACCAAAGAGTCCATGCATCCGGACGCTTATCAGGATCAGCATCACAACACCACTCGGCAAATTTTTTGTATTCTTCTGGTGCGGAATCAGGCATCGATGTAGATGGTCGCAGTCCGTCCATAATATCGCGTATTAAATCTCCATCGAACTGCCTATCACCAAAAGGTGACTCACCAGTAGCAATCAGATACATAATAACACCGAAAGAATATACATCTGATTTCTGAGTAAATCTACGAGTATGGAAGACTTCTGGTGCAATAAAAGGCAGAACGTGAAGAGATTCGGAAAAGAGTAAATCGCCTCGAATGTTTGATCCACATGAATTCACTGATTGTAAGAGACGAAAACCATTTATGAAGTTCTCAACCCTATTGTCATTCTGATGCAAAACAATGTTTCCACCATGAAGATTACAATGTATTAACCCTTCTTTATGAATAGCAAACAGGTAATATGCAATATCACCCAGACATTCCAATTTCATCTTCCATGTCAATTCGTTAATATTTTGGTCCAAATAAGACAAAAGACTGCCATTGTTAGCATATTGCATAACAATTACATACTCTTTTGTTTCTGGGGCTTGTGTAACTCCATAAAGTTTAAGAAAAAGAACATTCCTACTATTACTATGATAATGAGTTGTTAAGCACTTGGCATGATTTCTGAACTATTAATAAATATAAATACAGAGTCAAATTACATATACAATAAGTCATAATGATAACATCAACAATTGCTTACCTCAGAAATAAATAATTCTGGCATTTCACCAAATCTTTTAAGTTGCTTGAGTAGAACGGTTTGTGGTATATTCTCTTCTGAATAGTTTTTATATTTTGCAGTATAGACTGTTGCATAACTTCCAGATCCAATCTCATTGAGTTCATAGAAGTCTCTATACTGCATGTACTTTACAAGCCCATGATTTCGTATAAAGCTATTCAATAGTGCATGTATGTCATGGTAAAACACCAAATAATATTTCTGAGTAGAAGGCTCCTGAGTGATTCCAAGTATCCAAATGTTCTCAGGCATCAATATATCTGGGTATTCTTTAATTAGCTATTTGAATAAACAACAAATACAGCAGTTACAACACTGGTCATTATCATATGAAATGCACCTATTGCATTGTTTTATCAATAAATAATTTACCTGATGAAAATCAAATGACTGTTCATTTTGTCCATCAACTATTTCTTTGAGTGTCACACATGTCAACCCATGTAGTTCTAAACATCCTGCCATATGTGTGCATCCCAGTCACTGGACATTTCACAAAATTTTTATTGACTTACAATTTCATATAGTGTTACACAAAAATAATTATTTGTTTT